TTGTATTATTTTACTTTCTTTTACAACTCTCAGTTGCAGGGATAAAAGGGAAGGAAAGAGAGAGGGATGGAAGGAGAGAATAATGGAAGGAGGAAGAGAATGATAAAAGAAATTGGCTAAAAAAATTAACTCATTACTGAAATATTAAGGGTTCAAACAATATTCTCAGGACTTGGTCTCTGCATTTCTCCAGCCTATTTTTCTTAATACTTGCTTTAACTCTCAAAGAAGTTATTTCCTAATGTCATCCTTTAGCAACTCTAAACTTACACATCTTGCCAGTTTCTAATATAACATAAAAAAGAGCAACTCTCCCCAGAAATATCTATAGAAGTCTTGGCCTTACTTTGATGAGACAAACTTGCATGTTTCTATTCCTAAAACAACTGTAAATTTAGGGGGGTTCAATAGTTTGTTAGATCACATGTCTGTCCCTGGAATCGGATAGTTTCAGCTCAATCCAAAGCAGGGGGACCGAAGGCACAGGAAGCATGGTTGTCCAAAGAAAATTGTTGATAGTGTTACCAAAAGAAAGGGAATGAATATTAGATGGTAAAATCAGGAAAAAAAAAAAATGTCCACTACACTGTCACTCAACTAAATAGCAGTTATTATTGTGTTTTGTGCCACTTACAAATTCCTATTAAACCTACTACTACATTTTAAAAAATCACTCTATTTAACAACTTTATTCAGAAAATATATTTAGATTTCCAATTTGGGATATTGCAATACATCTTCTACCTTTGCTTCAAGATGAATATAATTAGCAGGAATTCCTTAATAGGCCTATGTGGAACTCTCATTTAATTTTTATGAACCTCAGTTTTCTTCTCATTGTCTAAAGAGTTACAATTTTCTTTACTTTTGGCCAAGGTATCTCTGCTCCCTGCAGAATATAACAGATTGTTGTCTTATAATTTTTCTCCTTTCCTCTTGTTCTAGAAGCAACAATTACTTCTTTTAGGCTAGGTCATTTTCTTTTTTTTTTTCCCCTCAAACTGCTGATAACTATATACATACCACTACTTCTGGCTTGTCTTTTTTTTACTTTGGCTCTAGATAGAATGATGGGGTACACATAAATGTTCACGTGGGCTCTGGAGTATACCAGGAACTGAAGTAAGGTACATGGACATCTTGAATATTGTTAACTGTGAGATGGGCAAGCCTATGCCTTTGCAAAAAAGGAGGATTGGGAAAGATTAAGGTGAGCTTTCTTGCAAATAGATGGGTCATGGTAATAAGGAATTCTGAATGCATGAACAGTGATGCTCAAAAGCAGGGGGTCTTCAAACTATACTCAAGGACCAAATCATTGCCTCTTTTTATATGTGAAGTTTTATTAGAATACAGCTCTACCCATTCATTTAAGTGTGGTCTATGGCTGCTTTAGGACTTAAAATGCCAGAATACTTGTGACAGAAACCTTCTGGCCCTCAAAGCCTAGAATATATGCTATCTGGCTCTTTAAAGAAGTTTGCCAACACCTGCTCCATTGTAAGGAAGATATTAGTCGGGTTCTAACAGAATTGTTTGTTGAACTAGGGTTTAAAACACATGGTAGAGACTCCACTGTTATAACCAGAGAGAAGACTGCCAAGAATTAGGATAACTTGTTCTCAGGCAAAAGGGCTACATAAAAGGCAGAGTCTTAGTTCCGCAGGGCCAGTACAGGAGGTGAGGAGGCAGGGGTTACACTGGTGTCCGTGGGTCATTGTTCATGCAATGGATACTCAGTCTGATTGAGGGATACATGCGAGGCTAGAATTTGTGCTGAGTCACCAGATTTAAGATCTGAGAAAAATGACGTACATTTCTTCACTTCAAAGACGTGGGGGCCATTAATCCAGATTTTCCCCTTGTTGAACTAACTCAGGAATGGAAAACAACCTTGGTGAGGAAATGGGACACTGAATAGGGATACTTCCTACCAGCCCAAGACTAGGGTTAGGGAAGGACTCCCTTGTTGGTAAGAAAGGATTTTTGCCTCTACAGACCTTTACTTAGACCTGTACTTAAATGAGGTAAAAAGTGAGAAAGCAATATTTCTGAAGTGCCTACAAACCTGAGGAGTCTTTCTCCATTTGTATGTTACTCAAGATCTCAAAATGCCACAACTCTTTAAAAGGGCTCCTTCTCTCCTTTGTATCGGTGACTTGCAACATGCTATTTGAATCTTTCAGTAGGCTGACCTGTTTGGCTAATGCCATAACCCAAATTAATTGTTCTTTCCTCCATGTTTCTATCTTATCACAGTAGTCAGCATATCTTGCCTTGTATTACATGTGTACATGTAGTCTTCCCCCAGACTAGCCATTACTTGAGAGTGAAATTTTAGCCTTACCTATCTAAATATCCCCTGAGTGCTTGTCTAGTGAATGCCTCATTGTAATGCCTATTGACTTAAATGGAATTTAATTAAATGGGGTTTGTTTTATTCTGCTAAGACTGTAGTAGATGTAGGCACAAGTCTGATTCTTTTCTTATAACCACCATTTTCCCCTGTTATGGATATATCAAATTACCACCCTTAACATCTCCTCCAGATTAATTTGTCTTGAATGAGCCCCTACTTGACCACAGCTGATTAAATTACCCCAAGGGAACTCAGCTACATAGGTTTTATTTGTTTGTTTGTTTGTTTGTTTGTTTTTTGGTTGCAAAAAGCAGAACGGTGCGTATGCAACAGAGACCATCTTAAATACGAAAATTGTTAGAGTAGCTCACAGAATCGAAGGTATCACTGAACAAGCAAGCTTCAGGAGGTTAGAAACCAGGACAATTCTGAGGACTCGAGCATTGAGAACTCATGAACTCTTTGACCCAGAGCACCCCAAGGCACCTCCACTTAAGACTCAAATTCTAAGGATCTGTGTAAGCCAACTGGATTCAATAATGTAACTCTGTGCTCAGGAAACAGGTGGTTCCTTTTTTTTTTTTTGTAATCAGAAATTGGAGTTAAGAGGATGCAGGGAGAGTGGTAGACAAATGGAAACAAGTGTTACCATAGCAATCTATTAGAGGGCAAACTAAGCCACCAGGAGTCTCTCAAGAATGTAAATTTAGAGGCCAAACAAACAAACAAATGTTATGAGTGACTTTTGGCTTAAATATCATGTAGACTAAGACTGGAGGCGCAGTGGAGAAGCAGGGAAAACTGAGAGCTGAAAGAAACAAAATGAAGGATAGGAGTGAGCATCCCCTAAGATGGACAAGGTGGCTTCATTTCCTAATGGTTTCTCCTCTTCTTTTCCTTGAACCTACCAATGTGTGGTTATTTTCCTTGCAATATTGTGTTGTAAGATATCCTTCCAATTTATAAACAGAAAGGATAGTAATTGCTTCATGTTAGAGTATTTAGCTATAGAATAATAGGAATCAAAATTATCTTAGACATCAAAGAGTACAGAAAATCAAAGATAATCTGAGGCAACAAGACACAAATCCCACTTGTCAATTCTGCCATTTGGTGATCATGATGGTAGTGATTTGAGATATGTCTAGCTAAGTACCAATCACTATTTTAAGCATTTACATGTATTGTTCTCTCAAAAGCTCTGAGGGATAGGTAGAATTATTAGCCTCATTTTACACATTAGAGAGCTAAAGTATAGAAATAAAAAGTAATGGAGCCAGGATTCAAATTTCCCAATTCAACATCGAAGCCTAAATTCTTGAAAGTGCAGGTCTCTTCACAAACTTCAGAAATTCCACAGCATACAAGAAATCTTAAGTTTTAGGGTTTTTCAAAACTTTATAAATCCCTTTGAGTCAAAAATTTCTCTTTTTTTCCAGATCCTATTCAAATGTCAGTGTTACTATTTAGCCTTGGATATCTCCATTAAAGGCAACTTCTTTCTGAACCAAGAAACAAAGCTTTACATCAGCTGCTTCCGTAACAGCAATAATATGAATGACCATTTACTGAGCAATTGCAATGCACCAGGATTATGGTTTATGAGCACTTTATGTTTATTATCTCACAACTCACTGAGTTAGATATTCTTCACAACCCAGTGAGCTAAATACTATTACTTCCACAGTATATATTATTATATAATAAAATGCTTAGAATATACACACAGTGACTAAACAATACTTATCAAATATGGCTCTAGATATGTTTGATAAATATTTGCTGAATGAAAACATGAAGGAATCAATTAGCAATATCTCTCTGCAGCCTTTAGCCCTTGAGAAGCATGTAGAAAAGAGGAGCTGTCTTCTCTTAGCAAAACTTCTGTCAGAGATGGTTTTCCCTGACTTAGACAGTTGTGTTTTTTCCCTACAGAATGATTCAGTCTCAGAATTGTTCTTTAATCCTCAATATTTCCATTAAGAAGAGCTTCTATGAAGTGCTTCAAAAGTACCCAATGTGAAGGAGTAATAATGACTCCCTGCTGGTGAGCGAAGTGTGGAGGACACAGGTCCCTTAGCCGTCCACTGGATGCTGCCCTGTTTGGCCTGAGCCAGTGTGGGCAGAAATACAGGCAGCAGCATAAGCAGATGCCAAGAACCTGTCTTGCTTCTATTTTCACTGGGTTACTGTATCTCCTTTGTAGTCCAACCTGCAAATTACTTTGAGAAGAAGAGCTACACCTCTGGACGAATATAGGAATATATTTGTATTCCTTGCCAAAGTAGGAAAAAAAAAATACAGAATCTTTCAAAATTGAACTCGAGGGCAACTAATTTAAATTCCTTTCCTTTCATGTTGAAAATCTTTTGACTGGGTTATTCTGAAGCCATAGCATTAGGTTACAGTGTACTTCTCTGTTACTTTACCATCTTTAAATTTGGCACCTTCAGAAGGTTGTTCTGTGCATTTAAAAAAAAAAAAAAAAAGGAACTCAGTTGGATATTGTATTGTTGATGACCGTTATTTGATTTTGGATTCTTTTGTGTGTTTGGGTCTCGGTTTTTTTGGTTGTTGTTTGTTTTCTAGAGACGGGGGTATCACTATGTTGTCCAGACTAGATTCGAGCCCCTGAGCTCAAGGGATTCTCCAGCCCCAGCCTCCTGAGTAGCTGGGACTTCAGGCACCTGTCACCACGCCCAGGGACAGTTACTTGATTCTTAATAGTCCAGTCATAATGAGACAGGATACTGCATAAGCCAAAGACCACACAAAGTATCAATGTTAAGTGTCAAGAGGGTGTGGAGGAAGTGGGTTACAACCACTTTGTCTCCCAACTGTTGTATGTTTTGCCTTTAAATTTTTTTTTTAAAGTACATTAAACTGTAATGTATTCAGATGTGGCTGAAACAACGACAAAACATTAGTTTTCTTTAAATATGCATGACTTTTAAGCTTTTTCCCTTTCCCAGTGACTTGCTTCTCCACTAAGCTCTTTTTTTCTCTTTTTTTTTCCCTCAAATATTATTGTTTCATGTCACTGTGACAAGTTTAGTCTACTGGAAATTCCTATGTTCTCTGTAATTTAGGTTTTAAGCAACATATGATTTATCTTGTTATTTTAAAAAAACTCTCTGCCTTCCCTAAGTGGGTGACTCTGGCATCCTTAATATTCTTCTATAGAAATTACGATGAAAGAACAGATAAGCCTAAGTAAATCTAGCGTGTGGAGCTCTTTAAAATGTGAAGATTGTCAACTGGTTAAAAGTAAAACTTGGTTTTGTCCTAAATATCCTTGCTGGGCCTATTATGCATTGAAAAAGGGGCCACAGCCCATTTGCAAGGCTTCTGAATGAACTCCATTCATTCTGTACTTGGAAATGTCTCTTCAGCCACAAAAAGAAACAATAGTTATAACCTAATTTCTTTGGCGCCAATATCAGCAGAAGAAGAGCAAAGAGACCATTATGAAAACTCTAGTAAGTTCTCTTGGTGATTATGTAATTCTGTATTCATTGATCATATTTCTGTATTTAAATAAGTACATTTTTAAAAACATTTTAAAGTGGATCGGTAATGCTGTAATATCACATTTCATGTATTATGCAACGTTTTTAAAATGGAGTACTCTAAAGTAATTTGCTTCTTACGGTTACCAAAGTTTAAAAAATACTCTAACATGCACTCCGAGATTTTAAGAGGAAAGCATTTGTGCTTTTCATCACTATATTTTGAAACCTGAGAGTGCAAAACCAGTTTTCTTAGGTAAACCCCTTAGTCAGTTTCCACATTTACTTGTAAAAGTCAGTGGAGGGCATACATCTGGAAGTAGTAATGGTGGTACACAACGTGTGTTAATATCATTTCCAAGGGGTATCTAGAGTGAACTTTCTTAAGCACAGATCGGATCTGAGCATGCCGCTCCTTTCTTAAAACCTTTTGTTGATTTTCCATTTCCCTAGAAGGAAAGCCCACTGGAGCATGGGCCTTGCGAAGTGCTCTTTCTGGCTTCTGCCTACCTGCCTTTGCAGCTTCACCCCTACCATCTTCCCTGAATGAACTTTTGTCGGTGGCCTCGCTCTTTCTTCCCATGGGATGTTGTTTCTGCATGTTCTTGCAGGGAATTCTCTTTCTCCCAACCCTGTTTCATTCCTTTAATCTGTACAACTCTTTCTTATCCTAAAGTCTTTACCTTAAGGTTGCCTTTTCAAGAAGACTTTTAATTGTATTAACTAATTAATTAATAAATAGTCTGATGTATTTGGAGCTGAGTTTCTATGGGGATTAGTTGCTGGAGGGTAGTTTAGAGCCAGATTGTGAAGGACTTTCTAAACTGTGCTTTCAAGGTTTTGAACAGGAAAATGCTGTAGGCTCTCTGTTTTTTAAAAGTTTGGAGGATGGCTTGTGTCTTAAAAGAATATGTAACATAACCATTTAATTTGTGAGTAGAGGACTAAGGAAACCACTGTAACCTTTTTCTCTCTGCAATAATCCCATCTTCAGCCTCTCAAGCACTGTGAACAATCACTTTCTCTGGCTGTCTTCTTGGAGCCCCTGCTAATTCATTATTGAAAAATACCTGCGGCCTGCATTTGGCCTTATGTTGTCATTTACTTGGTAAGTAATGCTAAATATAATATTAACTAAAATTAAAAGACCATTAAATTATTGGATAGTGTCTACTCTAGTGGTTTAGAGCACAGGCTCTGGAGGGATCTGATTTAAAATTTGCTTTGCCCTGCCACTTGCTAGCAATATAGATGTGGACAGGCTATTTAGATAATTTTCTTAGCAAAATAAACTTGAACTGAAGGGTAAGAGATTGAGGCAAGGAAGGTAGACCCTAAAGCAGTTTGCCAAGTACAAAATCTCTTGGAATTTGAGTGTTATCTAAAAATCCATGTGAATCTTGTATTCTCTTCCACAATACATTTCTGTTTGTTTTAATATAAAAATACTTTTAAGTTGGAGGAGGGGGTTAAGTGGGTTGGCGATTATTGCCTCAAATTTTCTGTACAATTATTTCTCCAGGAAAACACACATTGTTTATTCATGGCTTGAAGCAGTCTTTTTTTTTAAACATACTTTTATATTACACAAGCATGTGAACAGACTAAGGATATTACCAGAAATGTAAATATAATATCTCATTAGAGCAGAAATTCTGCATTGATCTTCAGCCACAGATTTACAGTGTTTACCCCAATATTACTATATTCTAGCTAAAATGTTAAAAATCTAGCACAATAGTGTTACAAAATAAACTGATTATTTCCTTCCCTTCACCATGTATACATCTAGATTATTCCATTCTTTCTAGTTACTCTTACAGGAACCTCAAGAGGCATGCTGGTTTATCTTTTTTCCTGCCTCCCCCCAAATATTTTAGTTAAATATTTTATTCTTTATACAATCCATCCTAAACATGTAATTCTTTCTATCACTTCTTTTCTTTTCTGTTTATTTCATGCAGTCAGCAGTCCATTTTAGGCTTTTGCCATTTTTTCTTGCCTGTAGTATCACTGTGAGTTCAAGAATGAGTTTTCTATATACATTCTCTTTCCTCTTCTGTTTGACCTATGAACTGTATTCCTTCATTGTCTCTGCATCGGCTACAAAATTAAGTATTGATTTCCAAAACAGGCCTGCCTTCCCCATATTATGCTTACCTTCTTTTCCAGCCCAATATATTCCTTTACTCTCCTGAATGGTCCATCCTTTACAGCCAAAATGAACCTTCCACTCTTCCCTGAGCATCCACCGACTCGCTTGTCTCCAGGCCTCAGCACCAATTATTCCCACTGCTTGTCACTACTGTGTACATTGCCCAAAGCCTGTCGCACAGGCCTCCTTCTCCTCCATAAATCCTTCCTTGATCATCCCAGCTGAATGTGTGGGGTCTCCCTCTCCTTTCATTGTTTCATTTATGGCACAGATGTTTATCAAATGCCTGGTGTACATCAAGCGATAAACCAGCGCTGAGGATTGAGTAATAACTAGGGCAGAATTATTACCCACTCTAATGGAGGTTATAATCCAACACAAAAGTGGCGTTGATAACTAATTTCAAGTTTCATGTGTTCTCCAGGGTCTGTGCAGCATGTTTAGAAGGCTACACCTTAGGCTGGGGGTCAAGAATGTCTTCCCTGATGTGAGGTTTACACAAAGATCTGAAGAATGAAGAGTCCAGCTAAGTGAAGTGGGAGCAGATTAAGGGAATGCAAGGACATGAAAGAGTGTCCTAGGCAGAGGGAACAACATATGCAAAGGCCCTGAGGTGGGAGTGAAGAAGGAACATTTGAAGAACTGAGAGAAGGTCACTGTGGAAAGCCAGATGCTGTGTGATATGAATAATGCAACAGGGGAAATTGAGATATTAGCAAAAGAGGGATTGATGACCCATGGGCTTGAAGATGTACTGGAACTAAAGTAAGGGGCAAGGATAAATTAAAAGAGGGAGAAATTGGAGAAATAGAGTGCTTGGAGACCATGATGAATTTGAAGAAAAGGATGGTGATAGAGTTGACCTAGCCAGCTAGAAGGGTAGTGCTTTTTAGTCAGTGAGCCCTCCATCCCATTTCTCATTAAATCTTGTAATGCTTTCTCACTTCCTATATTCTGTCATATTTTATAGTTGTTTATATAATTATCTTATTTTTATACCAATTATAGTTTCCCTGGGTGCTTATTATGGGTTAACAATTATATTATTATTAATAATATGGGTAAATGTTCACAAAGAAGTCTTTGTTGCTATCCTTATTTCTTTCTTTAATCTTTGATCAGGGCTTTTTATTTATGAATTCATCTTATATATCACTTGACAGACACTGAATGCTGAATGCCACAGAATACATGACATTTTAGCAGCATAAAGAAAGGCTCCAAAACCAAACAGCAAACTACACGCTACAAAACAACAATTTTTGGAATTAATGAATGAGGCTAATTTTCTAGAGTCCTCTCTCTCTTTCAAAATGTAGGAAGTGTTAGTATGGCCGGGCATGGTGGCTCATGCCAGTAATCCCAGCACTTTGGGAGGCCGAGGCCGGCAGATCACCTGAGGTCAAGAGTTTGAGACCAGCCTGGCTAACCTGGGGAAACCCTGTCTCCACTAAAAATACAAAAATTAGCTGGGCATCGTGGCACGTGTCTGTAATCCCAGCAACTCAGGAGGCTAGGCAGGAAAATCACTTGAGCCTGGGAGGCAGAGGTTGCAGTGAGCTGAGATTGCACCACTGCACTCCAACCTGAGCAACAGAGTGAGACTCAAAAAAAATGTAGGAAGTGTTAGTATGTCTAGATCTATTCACAGGTTTGGAAGGAGAATGGGAATAGAAGACAGAGCAGAAAATTAGTGGTAGGATTCAGCAGCTCACATCTCCAGCTTCTTAGTACCTTTGACATTTAGTCCAGTTACTGAATTGCTCTTCAATTCTCCACTCAGAACTTCTTTTCATTCCAGTGGGATTGCTTCACACTTATGAGAATTAAGGTACTTATACAAAGCCATTTTCAGAAAGGAATCACTAATATTATTAATAAACACATATTTGTTTGTTTTTCTACATTGAGTTCATTGAATCTCATTTGTATTTTCTTCATATGTTACCTTATACAGATATAGGCAGGATGCCCCTGTGTTTTCAGCTGGCTGTTAGATAAATTCACCATACATTCACTTTCAACCTTGTGTGTAAAAATAAAATTAGTTACATGAAGTAGTCATCCACATGACATAAGAGACCTAATTTTAATAGGAAATCATATTAGAAGTGTAACTCTTAGAAAATGTTAGTGATCATCATCTTCCTCTATTTTTTCTCCTAGGTACTTCCTAAGGGTGGCTACTCCAATGTAGCTGTAGTATATGTACTGAAGGAAGATCCTCTCATACTGCCACAGCCAACAGATAAAGTTGTGAATCTTTTTTGGGAGAAGCCGTTAAGGACAGGTCTGTGAAATGGAAGGATCTCTGGATCACTACAAAGTCTGGCTCAGTGACTATGGCTTTGCAAACACTAAACATTCCTATCTCAAGTCCTGTAGATGGCTTGAAATAGCATACATAAACATGCCTTATAAACATCTTCAGTCTTTATCAACTCTTTGGAGATTCAGCCATTCTTTTTTGTACTTTAAGGAATTAAATAATTTTATAATGTGGTATAAATCTGAGCATGGCAGATGGTAGAAGAAATTTTGTCATATATTTTTAAAGAAATAAAAATGTATTATGTTTTAAAATTCCTTTAACTGTTTTTCTTACAAAGCTCCCAACAACGTAGTTACCAAGTAAACTATCTCAGATGTGATTTTTCAGTCCTTGCTAATCTGTTTATAAAATCTTTTGCTATTTTATAATTTTATCATTTATGTCTGTCCTTAAGTGTTCATTTGTTTTTATGTTTCTATATGTCATGTTTATTTGAGCTGTTTAGTGTAAAGTAAAACAAGAACTCCCTGCATCTTATAGCATAAAAAGCAATGTTTTTCACATTCTTACCCTAATAGAAACCCTCATTCACAGATTGATGGCTAATGCTCTACCTTTCTGCAATTCCTAGTCATAGAACTGTCCAAGTCTCACATGACCTGCCTCTTGAAGAAGGAATATACCACGAGTTACTTCTTAGCTATACAGGTTAAGAAACTCAAATGACTCACTAACTAAATCTTGTTGCTTAACAAAAACACTATGGTCTATCATCATAACATTGTCAACTTCTCACATCATCATTTTGAATCAACAACATGCCATCATGTCAAAGAGAACTTATCATGTTAGCATATTGAATATAGAATTACAGTACAGCTATTTCCAAGACCTGAATGAGTGTAGTATATAAGAAGAGCAGTGGTTTAGAAATAAGGCGATCTGACATGCTTATCTCAGTTCTGCTATGGGTATTTAAGGCTAATTATTTAAATTCTCTGGGCTTTACTTAAAAAGGGAAAAGAAGTGGAGGCATGCCCATTCCTTTTAAGAATATGACCCAGAATTTCCATGCATTATTTCTGCTCATGTACCTTTGGCCAGAGTGTAATCAGTTTGTCCCAGGTAGTAGGAAAGGAGGCTGGAATATGTGGCCTTTAGCTGAAACTTCGAAGATTCTAAAGGAATTGGACTATTGAAAGACAAGTAACAATCTTTGCCATTGCTTTCTTATCAGGAAAGCAAATGCTCTCTCAGACCCTCCTCCCCTGCCCCACTGAGTGATTCCATCAGATGAATCACTGTCTATGGCAGCATACCATTATGAAAACTGTATGCAGCAGATTTCTGCTTAGGCCATAATTGAGCATATAGTTACCCCTAGATTTAAGGAAGCTGGGGAAGCAGGAAACAGGATTGACATGATTGGCTTTGACCAAAGTTTCACAAACTTTCTTGGTTCACAGCTCCCTTAGGTTCTTAATAATTTTTTTCATGGTACCAAAAAAATACATAAAAGCTTCATTTACAATTTAATTACCATTTGAACTATGATACATAAGTTGAAAGAAAAGTAATACCTTGGTCATTCTTAGATAACCACAGTTACTACTGGGTTATATATACCTGTGGGGCACTCTACAACTTCTCAAACCTTGGACTCAGGATGGTGCCACCCTTATGTCTTGCCAGGCAGTGCTTGCTTTTAATCACAGCAACTCCTGAAAACCCAGCTTTACAGTGACATAATATTCTAAAGAAATGTAGCATGGTCTAACATGGAAACTGTGAATCACCCCAAGCTAAAAGCTAACAGTGGGCATGCTGTCTGGCAGAGGTTGAGTCCCTATTTCCCTTGAAAATTTGAATATATTATAGCCTCCCCAGTGAGTTTACTTTAACACCTTTGAGGGCTGGGCACACAGTTTGGGAACCATGGGTTTAGACTAATCATCATTTATTTTCTGGCCTGGACATATTGCTCCCTAGACAAGAATTAGTCTTTTGGGGGGAAGAAAGAAGAATGGAAACTATTTAGGAAACTGACTATTTCGGCCCCCCTGTATTCCACCTAAACTGCGTGATCTTTAAGAAGAGAGGCTATGTCTGTTTTTACACACTGTTTTCTGTGTGGCATAGTTCTGGGTACTTAGAAGGAACATAGAGGCTGGGTACAGTGGCTCAAGCCTGTAATCCCAGCACTTTGGGAGGCTGAGGCAGGCAGATCCCTTGAGGTCAGGAGTTCAAGACCAGCCTGGCCAACATTGCAAAATACCATTTCTACTAAAAAATACAAAAATTAGTCAGGTGTGATGGTGCACGCCTGTAGTCCCAGCTACTTGGGAGGCTGAGGCAGGAAAATTGCTTGAACCTGGGAGGCGGAGGTTACAGTGAGCTGAGATTGCGCCACTGCACTTTAGCCTGGGTGACAGAGCGAGAGCGTGACTCTGTCTCAAAAAAGAAAAAAAAAAAAAGAACATACACATTTATTAAATGATTACAAAATGATTATATGATCAATGAAATATGATTAATAATATTAACCAACCATAAAATGCCAGCTCATAGGAAATTTGTTGCCTATACAACAGGCTTCTGTGTACATTCAAGGACCTGGACTATGCCTTCCTAGTTTCGTACCACCAGTGCCCAATAATTATTTGGTATATTGTAGGTGAGAGAAAAATGTTGGTCAAATGAATGGGTGAATGTCTCAGTGAGAGCTAGTTCTGTCCCAAACACCATTACAAAGGAGTTTCATTACATGCTAATAAAAATGCTTATTAGTGGATTCTTAATGTAAATCCTCATGTTGACTGCCAAGAAAGAAAAATAACCACTTTCTCTTATCACTATGGATCTAAGGCTTTTTTTTGTTACCACAGTCACCACGAGAAAAACTGACAAAAAGAGAAAAGCAGAACTATTCTCAGATATAAGATGAAGTTTTCTTAAAATGGTTTATATTATCAGCAGCTAAACTGTTTCACTATTCAGATTATTACATAAAGCCCAGAAAGTGACTATTTTCAAAAGAGCTACCAAACTTTATAAGTATGATAGTCATTTGAGCAAAATGTATCTTTTTCCTTTTTCTTGTTCCATAGCCCAAATTGGCTTTTGTCTATTTTCATGGTTTTGCCATTCTAGCTCATTCTGTTTTCTTGGGAAGCCATGCAAGCTCTTTGGTTTCCATGACTGTAAAGTGTATGGCTCTGTGACAACACCATAGAAGAATGTGTATGTGCTAGTGTGTTAGATTTGTCTAGATCTAAAAATTATCTATGGTTAGTTGATTGTTTTCAGTAATATATTTAGAAAACTAGTTATGTGTCTGTCTCTATTGCTAAATCAAAGGTATTTTGAAGGCAGGGACTACATCCTTTTCGTTTTTGAATCTCCAGAGCATTGCATCTGAACCCCCAAGACCTGGTACAGAGTAGGTGCCCAATTCATATTTGTCGAGTTAATAAACTCTTTCTTCGCAAAATTTTCCCAATAGCACAGTACAGAGTTTGTTCATAACAAATATTGAATGTATTTTTATTTTGTGAGAGCCTAAATCATTTTTAATTCTTTCAATGTTTCTGAAAGCTAAGAGACAGGATTTATTCTTCCTCTTTTCTAAATGGAAAAATATAATTATCCTTAATTATGGATATCAAATATTGAATTTGTAGTATACAAGAAATAATTTATTGACTTAAAATATTTTAGCATTCTTTCTTTTTTTGAAGAATATTATATTTCTTTGTTAATGTATTTCTTTTTTTACCATTTTAATAAAAGCTTTTGCTGGGCATTTCTACTTGTTCAGGGGCTAGACTGATGTTGCAGTTGTATGCTCCTATATTTTATTTCAAAAATGCATTTTTATTTATTTTTTGAGCATGAAAGTAATATATGCTCAGTGTAAACAATTAAGTCATTATAAATATATTTAACAGGAATACCAGAGATAACTTCTGTTAATAATTCAATGTATTACTACAATTTTTTCTATGAATTTAATATAATAATATTGTTGGAAATTTTGATACAATTATTTAAGTGAAATTTAATCATACTGCACATACTATTTTGCAGTTTTTTTTAATAGTGTATTTAAACTTTCAAGTGCAAAAGATTTTCAAGACTAGCAAATATAAATCTGCCTTATTCTGTGTAATTGCTAGAGCCTACATTCAGATGTTTGCAGGACCCGATCCTCCTACTTTAAATTACTTACACATTTAAATTTGTAATTAAATTGTTTATATAATTGTAGTTTTCATATCTGTATCCCTAAATATATTATAAATTCCATGCCTAACACATACCACATGAAACAATACATATAATGGCGATAGGTGCTATGAATGAATGAATGAGTAAATGGTGGTATTCCCCAGAACTTTCTTCACAAAGCCTGTGCTCTTTCCACAATGCCACACTTCCTCCTCTTAGTGGTTCCTTTATATACTATGGGAATTTTCATAATATCATTATTAGTGGTTACATTATTTTGAGTTTTATTACATATGTTTAGGTCAATTGTGAAGGCAGAACTAAGCAATTTAGAAATTCAGAAATATAGGAATAGTAATTATATACAGACACACCTTGAAGATATTGTGGATTTGGTTCCAGACAAGTGCAATAAAGTGAATATTGCCATAAAGCCAGTGACACATATTTCTTGGTTTCTCAGCACATATGAAAGTTATGTTTACACTATACTATAGCCTATTACATGTGCAATAGCATTGTCTAAAAAAGTACGTAACTTAATTAAAAATACTTCATTGCTAAAAATTGCTAATGATCATCTGAGCCTTCAGGGAGTGAATCTTTTTGCTGATGGGGGGTCTTGCCTTCATACTGATGGCTGCTGACTTATCAGAGTGTTCAAGACTGGGGTGGCTGTGGCAATTTCTTAAAATAAGACAGTGAAGTTTACCATATCAGTTGGCTTCTTTCACAAAAGATTTCTCTGTAGTATGCAGTGTTTTTTTGATACCATTTTACCCACAGTAGAACTTCTTTCAAAATTTGAGTCAATTCTCTCAAACCTTGTTACTGCTTTATGAACTAAGTTTATATAATATTCTAAATCCTTTGTCATTTCAATAGTGTTCACAGCATCTTCACCAGGATTAGATTTCATCTCAAGAAATGACTTTCTTTGCCCATTCATAAGAAGCAACTACTCATCCAAGTTTTATAATGAGATTGCAACAATTCAGTCCCATATTCAGGCTTAACTTTATATTCTTGTTCTTTTGCTATTTCTACTACATCTACAGTTACTTCCTCCAGTGAAGCCTTGAACTCCTCAAAGTCATTCATGAGGGTTGGAATCAACCTCTTCCAAACTCCTATCAATGTGGGTATTCTGACCTCCTCCCATGAATCATGAATGTTCTTAATGGCACCTAGAATGGTG